CGCTATTCAAAAGCAATAAAAAAAATGCCCGTCAACCCTCTGTGCTCTTGGCTGTCAATCAGAAACAGGTTTTGTGTACCCTTGTACCTTTAACAGTGCCATTGTACCATTGAATGGACAGTTCTAGAGACATTTTAAGTATTTTTAAGAGTGTTCACACAGAGATTCCTGTACCTTAAACTGGGCCCAATATGTCAACGTGTGTGCATTTTAGCTGTTCCTTTGTACTGGTGGTTTCATACCTTGCTGGAGAACTTTGTCCTGGTATACTGTTAATGGAAGTGTAATTTTGATTCTGAAATGACATTGACTGCCAGTAATAATGTGGTGAGAAACTTTTAACAGCTGTAATGCTCAGACTTGTTCTAAAGAGCCCTCAAAAGTCTAAAAGCCTGTGAGGTACATTGCCGGCATAAATTCTCTCGTTATCCCTCCCTACCCGTTGCTGGGTGTATGTCAGTACATTTAGGCACTTAGCATTTAACATCAAGTTTTGAAGCCTTATGATTGTATTCCAAAATGTATTAGCTTTCAAAGTATTGTACTTAAAGACTCAATAAATTACAGGCTATTCTTGATCAACTGGCTTCTTAACATCATGACTCACACCGGGAGGGGGATATACATACATACTAGCTATGTGGAAAGTACCAATTGAATACAATCTTTTTCACTGATGAAACATCCAGACTGCATTTGGGAGAAAGAAATTGCAGCAGTCATTTTCTGTAAGTGGTTCTGACCTTATCATCACATGGAGGTGAAGTTTATCATTGCAAAAAAAAACCATTTCAAAAGCGTTAAAACTTTACTGTCCTTGAAGGAACAGGGGAAGGGGCAAGACGGAGGGACTCCGGGATGGAGTTCCAGAGGATGGGAGCAGAAAGGCTGAAGGTCCGACCATCGATGGTGGAGAGGGCAGGGTGGGGAATATGGAGCGGGTTGGTGAAGTTTTAGTAGGTCGCAGAAGTAGGGAGAAGCAAGACGGTGGAGGGCTTTAAAGGTAAGGATGAGAATCTTGAAGTGAGGATCTCGAGCATGGGGAGCCAGTGAAACCAGACATGGATGGGGGTGATTGGGTCACGGAGCTTAGTGTGGGCTTAGTGAGACCAAGAAGTCTACTTATGGAGGACTGCACAAACAAGAGCATGCTCACTAGTCATTGTCACTAAATGGCCTTTAGATTGTACATACTTAAATAGTTATTTAGCTTGTACCAATGTCGATTTCTCTGTTAAACTCAGTGCTATTGGTGGTAGGCTATGCTGTTGGAAATGGTTTGTTTTCCTAACTGAAACTGAGTAATCTTTTGTTTGATCATCAAAATGGAAGGGAGTCACCATAGATCAGCTGAGCGCTTCCTAAAAGCCTCCCATAAACATTGATAAGTACTTTACACGAAGGAGTCTGTCACACGCACAAACTTTGTTCCATATAAAGATTCTTGTTGGAAGGGGGGAAAAAATCAGACACATTAATAACTCAAACATTCCTCTGAATGAGACATGGAGTTCAAGGGCTTTATTTTAATCTTATTGAACATTGGTGGGACCATTTCCCAGCAAATAGTTAGTCCCTGCAGGAGGAGGAAGGAGAGAAACTTGGCAAATTAATGTTTATCCTTCTAGCGACAGCTCTCCCTTCAGTACTGTTCTGGCCATGACAGTTCTCTGTGCACCCGCAGGCTGAATTGACATTTACTCTTTTGAATTATTCTATGCCAGAGCCTGTGTTCTGAGTTCCTTAGGATGACATTTTTTAGTTCCTTCCAGCAACTGTGATGGTTCACTGTGAACGAGCCTCCTTTCTATGATTTACCTGAGGAGAAAGAGCTAAACTCGGAGAAAGACGCAAGACTTCCTGATGGCTCGCTGAAGAGCCTTGGATGGGTCACAAGCCAAATCCTGTGGAGGGGGCAGCCTAAGGGCAAATAGTACAGTTGTTGATGGGGTGTGGGGTGAGAGGGGTAAAAGAGCCCTTTATTTTGGCATACTTTCAAGTAGATGGGATACATCATCTCTCCCTTCCCCTCCATTTCTTTCCTCAGATCTCATTGCACCTTTCCAGATGGCTGCTGTTTGAGAACAACAACAATAACAAAATTACATTTGTATAGCGCCTTTCACATCAGGAGGACATCCTAAGGCGCTGGACAATCGGTGTTTCGGACACGAACTGGGGGTCAGGATCGGGGAGGGTGGAGCCCAGGGGGGGAAGTAGGGTGGCCAAAGGCACAGTCGAAGCGAAAGGTATTGTTTCTGGTCTTGAAGGAGGCAAGGGAGGGGACGAGGTGGAGGGATAGTGGGATGAAGTTCCAGAGGGTGGGGACAGAGTGGCTGAAGGCCTGCCCGCCAATGGTGGGGCGTGCAAGGCGGGCTACGTGAAACAGGCCAGAGCCTGCTGGGCAGAGGGAGACCGCATTACGTCATACAAGTGATTTAAGTTCACTCTTACGCTGTTCTTGATTATTAATAACTGCCCTAAACAATAGAGCTTCTGAGGTCCGGAAGAATGACTCCATCAATCGTCCCTAAGGCTGTCAAAGGCTTTTGGAATTTAGTGCATGATAATATCTTATTTCAAGGTTCTCTGCAAAAAAAAATTGCCATACTCATGCCAAGCCTTTTGTTCTTCTGGCAAAATGCTTTCAATTCAACTATCATCTTTCAGAGAATGAACAGTAATGACTCATTGCAAAGGTAAAACTGATGTAGTCTGACTGAACAGTGCAAAGAGACCCATTAAATAAATGCTAGGCATCTACAACAGGTTAGTTAGCACCTGAAGGAGAAAGGTAGGTTCACATTTCAGATAGTGACTGACTTTCATCAGTAGTGGAGAGGGGCCTTTTCCAGCAATAAATAGACCAAGTAAAAGAAAAATATGAAAGATCTTTTTTTCTCAGAGACAATGGCGCAGCTGATCAAAGACAAAAATAAAAATCTAATCGGAAGATTTCGAAGAAATACGTCACGTGCAAAGAGTTGGATCATTATGAGATGGGGCTAAACTGGGAGGTGTAGCACAGGAGAAACAAAACAGGTGAGGCAGCTGTTAGGAGGTGTGAAGTGGCAGTTTCGTACTTTAAAAGAGAGAGAAAAAACAACCTGAGGGTGGAGAGTTGAAAAGGGAAGAGGCAGATAAGATTTGAAGGTGTTAAAGTTAGTGTTAAGGTCTGCAGCTGAAAGATGCCTAGGAAATGGATGGTAATTCAGCTGTTTGCACTGTGTTGGCATTGTTTGCACTGTGTTGGCATTGCAGACCACAGGGGCGTTAGAAAAATGTCTGTGTTCTGAACAGAGATGCTCGACAAACGTCCATCCATCCATTTGTCTGCAGCCCTCTGTGCGAGGGATACAGGCAAGATGGTGACTCTGAAATGCTAATCCATTTTTTTTTCTGCTTCAGTTGCTGTTAACCTGCTGCAGATTTCCTGCATTTTCTGTTATGTCAGATTTGCAGAATTCTCTGTGCTGTTACTTTAAATTCCAGTCTTAAACAGAAACAAACCCCTCACTGCTGTCTGAAAACCTTTGGAGATATTTAGGAAAAGACGTCAGCACCTTGCCATCAACACTCATAGCTACTGTCTTATAGTCACTGTCTTATAGTTACTTCTCAGCCCCTCAGAGAAATGATGAGACATTGCTTTCTGGGGAGAGCAGCTAATCAAGTGTAAAGGTTAAAGTGGGTGAGGTGAAATATGCATAGATGTAACCTTTGGCTCCTGCAACACTGCTGTCAATTACAATCCTAATTATCTTGCCCATTCATGGACAACATCCCCAGCCATGTTAATTACCAATTCTGGGATGGAAAAATTATTAGTCTGGCTACACAAGTTCCTTCCAGGGTCAACCTTCAGAGTTTTGAAAAGATTCTTATGGATGTGATGTCAAAAGCAATGAAGAATTAATATTGATTAGTTTGTGTTCATTTTTGTGTGCGTTTTTGAGTTTTCCTGCAGGGGCTTGCTCTCTCTCTCTCTCCCTCTCTCAACCCACCTCTAGTTTCCGACCTCCACCACTCTTGTCGTGATTTAAACCCCTACTCACTCTGTAGCCCTTATTAAGATAGGATGGCAGTCATTGGAAGCACCACAGCTTGCTTTGTCTTCAAGTTCAATGCTGACTGTATTTTTAAAGCTTTGCTATTTTCCCTGTTGCAATCACTGCAGTTTAGTTCTACTAACTGATAACTCCAGCAACCTTTTTCATTCCCAGAAATCCCATTAAAAGAGTGGAACAAAACATTGCGTGGCATTAGTGAGCAATGTGTTAGATCTCATTGAAAAGGCAGTATTCCTGCTTTTATTGCACTATTCATGAAACTGGAACATAACAACAAATCTAAGTGGCAAATAGAGACATCTGATGAAAATCAAAAGTTAATTTTGTTGACAACGCAAGAACTTTGCTCCAACACAATGTGCTTACAGAGCAGACGTACCAGGGTCAGAGTGATGTACTGTATGTTTGGTTACTGAAAGGAGTCTCCATTTGTGACTGAAATGTTATAAAGAAATCCTGATGTAAATTGCCTTGTTGTATTCCAATTAGAGAAACACCTTTTTAGATGGATTAATTTAATCTCATTTCTGAATTTTTTTTCAAATAATTTGTGGTCCGGTGACACTAACCAATACAGTCGTATCAAAACCAGCAAATATTCAGCGCAGTGTAAACAGTACTTTTATAGGGTGGGTTTTCTGGAAGTATAAGCACATTATACTGCTGTATGTCAGTGGGTAAGAACTGAATCCCAAGTAATATTCAGTGCTGTCATTGAACTCACTGACGAGCAAATCACTGAAGCCTTGGGCTTTAGACTGTTAGCCAGGATTATCGTCTCTGAAACAGCAAACTTCAATACAGTGAACCTCCAGAATTATTGTCAATTTATTGTCAAATTTGTCCCGAACTCTTATTCTTCAATGCTGAAACTGATGTGCCACGAGTCTAAAGATATTTGATTCATTGTTGTGTTATTTTGTTTTTCAGTGCTCTTTTTTGCCCAAGTTCTCCATTCATATAGAAACCAAATATGAAGATAACAATGGATCGAATGATAATGTAAGTACTCATGAGCTTCAGTTATTATTTCTGTTTCGAGTAATTGAGATTTTAATAATAAATAATCCTTGCATTTGATATAGTGCCTTATCACATCGTTAAGACGTCTCAAAGCGTTTCAACAACAACAAGATTGCATTTGTACAGCTTCACCGTATATACTGTAAAGTGAATTGACTGTGTATTTTGTGGACGGAATTTTACTGTTCCACTGTTGGCCTCAGTTGTGAGCTGTCCACGCACCCGAGGACAAAGCGTGGAGTGTGAGGAAATAGAAAACAAATAGCCTAAATAATAAAGATCCCACCGCCATGTAATTCTTTTTAATTAAACCAAATCAATCTTTGTTTGCCGTGATTCAACCCCAACTTGTTTAATCATTTATGCATTATCTGAGATACAGTGGTGTGCTGTTCTTACACACTGACGTATAGCAGTACTCTGTACTTATTCTCATCCTTCCAGAAAACCACCCTTAAGTTTTCCCATTATAGCTCCGTTGTTTCTTGAACAAGTTCAATATACTAGCCTCTACTATCTATATCACTATTGATTGCTCTCTACATAAAGAAATACTTCCCAATCTCAATTCTAAAATTGCCCTTCACAAGCCCGAACCTGTATTGTTCTTTGCTCTTCCCTTGTTACATGCAGTAAAACCTGATATCACTGCAGTTCAGACAATGTAGTAGAACGTAGTATGATTGCACTTCAATTCAAATCACATGATTCAATCACAGCAGCCTACGATCCATCACTGTCCAGCATTAAAAACATTGCCATAAATAGAATAAACCCACGCCTCTCCTTATACATAACATTAACACAGGCAAGAGTGTATTCAAGGACATAACACATCAAGGCTGATACCGGACATTGATAAATTGCTCGATCATCTCTTCAATGTTTTTTGACATGTATCGTAACTCTTTGACATATTACTGCCTTTTACATTGCTCAACGTGCATATAGTCTACCTGATACATGAATCACGCTGTATTGTGCTGCTAACCCTGGATACAAAAGATACAACAGGTTCCCCTGTTGTTAGTGGTCAAAGACATGCCTGCTTTTAGCCTTGATGTCTTATGTTGACGGTTGCAACTCTGATTCATTGCCTTAGTTGCTGGGAAATCAGTTTAGGCCCTGCATGGGCTTTAAAGCCCCCATATTGGTGTACTATTTGCCAGATTTGCTTGATATATCTCCAGGGTGATGGTGTCAAATACTTACAAATAAGGGTAAGAATACATAAGGATGTTCTATAAACACATTAGGACGTGGTACTGCAAGTTTATAAGAAATGCATGTAAAGGGTCCTGCTGCAGAACAAATGTTATTTTTGCCAATGTGCACACATGGACGTTCCCAGAGAAAAAAATATCAGGATAGCAGAGTGACAATGCTAATAGCTTCATTGGTAAGTGAACAGAAACAAAGTGAAATCAGGAAAGCTTGCAGCTGCTTTGCCCAGGCCTGCCATCTAGTGGGTATTGTATTTTTAAAAGGGTGAATCTTTGATATAATACAGCAGTAAGTGTTTGGTGTGTGTGACATCAGAAAGATTACTCCCACTTGATGATAAGTAGAGAGCGACAGTCCTCTACCAGTGAAGGGAAGGCGTACGTTTAATCCACTTGAGTTTGCACATCCATCCCAACGATCTATCTCTGGGATTTCCATGTGTAGGTGGGATGCATGGAAATCTCAGCTCGGTTTGGAGACTCTTGAGCAGCGGTGATGGGTTGGCACATGAAATGACACCATTCACTGACAAGTTTGTTTAAAAACATGCAATCCCCAAATCCAGCAAAAGCATTTGCTTTCCTTTTTTGGTCAAGAAACGTCCTGGAAGTAAGATGGTGACCACAAGCACAATTTCCAGTTTGCGAATTTCCCATTTCACACCGTATTGTCATCAACATGAACGGCTGCAGTAACCTTGGTCACGTGTCCAATAAAGTGCAGTAAACATTTGAATGTGAGTGCAGAGATACCAATACTAGGAAAGTAGTGTGCGTAGATCTTCAGAAAAACAGTGCAATTGCATTCAGTTGACATTTTGTCAGTAAGAACCAGTAATATGGTCACTGTTATTCACTTCCCCTTTAAAAGCCTGATCTGACCATTTTTCAACAGTTTCTCATTTTCACAAAACCCACAATCCTATCTGCCAAATGTCAATTTTATGCTGTAAGATTGTGAGCATAAGGAACTGAGATCAGAAGTTTTTGTACTCATGTCATCTCTGGAGATTTGTAGCTGCCAAAGCGAGATTTCCATCCCTCTAATCTGTGTTGGATTCAAACCCAGAAGTAAATGGATGGTGTTACAATCTACTGAAGTACCCCACTTTAATGTTGGCAACCCATTTCGGAAGAGGAATGGTTAATATTCTCAGTGTTAACTCTGTACAATAAAATACAAATTACATTTGTATAGAGCCTTTCGTCCCAAAGCGTTAGACAGTCAGCGATTTGGACCCGAGCTGGGGGTTGGGATCGGGGAGGGTGGAGGGGTAGGAGGGTGGCCAAAGGCTCAGTCGAAGAGAAGTAGAACTTAACCTTACAGTTAATAGCTCTTGTGTTAAACTTTACTGTTTCAGGGTATAAAGTACAAACTAAGCAGTTGCCATTTATTGGAGACAGATACATAACCAATTAGAGAGGCTTGAAAGCATAAGTAACGTTTTGCCCTTTATACAAGTAATGCTAGAGGTCCTCTCAAACTGATCCAATATACCTTCAGGACCTGCATCACGCAATCTGTTAAACCTTTTCTCCTATACCAGACATAAGGCGACTTTGATCTTCAAATGCCATTGCTAAACCTTTCACATCAAACAGACTGCCAATCACCCTGGAACCATGCAAAAATCCAATTAAACCAAAAAATCACCATCTGGTACATGCTACAAACTGTGAAAAGCACTCACTCACTGTAAAGCATACATTTAAATTGCTTTTTTCAAGTAATTTTGAGTTCCAACTGGGCAAGTACTGTGAAACTAATCAGTGCGTTGTAGTACTGTAGTAAGCTGCAATGCTACCCCTATTGTATTCCTGCACATATCAGTCACCGATGATACATTACCTATTTTTTAATTGTTTTATTATATATTTAGATCTTCAACTCTGAGGCAAAAGATCTTGAAAGAGAGGTGTGCTTTGTCGATATTGCATATGATGAAATTCCTGAACGCTACTACAAAGACTCTGAAGTAAGTGAACAGAAAAGTAAACATCTACATTGTACCAACCAACACTCATCTGGTTATGGATTAAATCCCTGTGTTTTGAGCTGATTTCACTGTCAAGGCTTACACTCCAGTGAAGCACTGGAGAGGGCTACATTGTTGGATGCCATTCAGATGGTAACCATTTTAATACAAGGTAAAGATCCACGACACTAGTCAAAAAAAAAGCCAAAGAAAGCTCTCTGTCCTATCCCTACAAACACTGCAGTTAACAGTAATTACCTGTGAAGTATTGTGAGGCATTTCAACATAACAAGATGTTATAACAAATAATATAATTAAAACACTTGCTGATTCCTGTTAATCNTTTTTCCCTTGGTTGAAGTAATATTGCTACATTAATCAATTTCCTGATTCAGTGAATAATTAACTCGAATCAGAACATTTTTGTCATTAACCAATTTATACTTTGATTGAAATAAAGCAGAGTCCAGCCTTATTCACCATCTCATTTTCCTTCTTCTAATCTATACAAGTAACTCTCTTTGTTTAGAACAAACCTGCAAAAAATCTGTAGTTGCTAACACCAGGGATAAGTCTCTCGGGAAGGTTTGTTATACATGGATCAAGAAGTTATTCCTTTGTAGATTTATTCTGAAAGTTATTCCTTTGGCTGAGAATGAGGGAAGAAGTCTACCTTTGAAGTACATTAAGAAGATCTTATAAATTTAGACCTTGTTAAAATTCTGGCCATCTTTAATCATTTTTCACTGCACACTGTCTCAACCTATTATCGATCAAAAGAGATACAAGTATTATTACAGACTGGAACAATACCCACTTCCAGAGTGGTTGATAATGATGTGCCATTCAAAACAACATACATGTCAGTGCCAGTGAACAGCACAGAGCTCCTCTGCTTTAATTATCCAGACCTAATGAGATGTTTGGCAAATGGATGTTAATTTGTTTGCGAGGATTTATGCCTGAAATGTCATGTAGCTTTTATCTTTTTGTCTCCATGTTTTGCCTCTGGATTACACCCAAATTGGTACCTTTTATCTAGTCTGAAGAGCCATGTTATAAAAATGCTAACCAGTTGGATGAGACAATTTATTCATAACTATTTTTCCTCCTGTTGTTTTTACGCTTACATGAAGTACTTTGGTCTAAGTTTAACAGGATTCTTTAATAAGAAATTAATGTTGTTTGAAATCGATGTGTTTAAATCCCAATGTGCAAAGAAATTCCTTATGTCACACATATTATGCATTTACTTAATACTAAAACACAGCAGCATTCGTGTTAAATGTGTTGGTGCTGGTCACTTTTCAGTTTTCATTTCTGGTCTTATTATATTTTGCTATTATTGTAAGTTAAAACGGACATATTTATGTCAAGATGCAATGCTCCTGTGAACTGACTTCGAAAAGGGGAAGAAAGAGAACCTGGGATGATTCACTCAGTTTTCTCTTCCTTCTGAAGATGAAGCATAATAATAATAATAATCCTTGCATTTGACATAGCAGCTGCTAGACGTTTTCGAGACGTCTCAGAGCATTTCCCAGAATATACTGTGAAGTGAGTTGACTGTATATTTTGTGGGCGAAATGCAGCAGCTAATTGGGATTGAGTGACCAAATTATTATTTATTTTTTTTGAAGGAATTATTACCCCTGGAAAAGCGATCCGTCAATCGACTAACATCCGGGTTCCTACTCACTGTTAGGTAATCAGAGGCGTGTGGAGTAAGGAAACTTGCCCAACTTTTCGCCCCACCAGGATTCAAACCCAAGCCCTCTCACTTGCGAGGCGAGTCCTCTAACCACTAAGCTACAGGACTTCACATCTCTTCACTTGGCATTTCTCAAACGCTGCACACTCAGCAGCTCTGCCAAGGCTGGCTGCTTGCCATGTGGGGAGCTCCATAGCTTTTGAGGGCCTTAAAGTATTAAAACCCAGCCACTATTTCTTTCTACAGTGAAAAATGGTTTGGCCGCTGAATGTGTAAGTTAAATCCAGCATGCACGTTCCTTTTGGTTTTCATTTCTGATGTCATTTTATGTTGAACATTTTATCCTTTTTCGCAAAGCACCAGTGTTACATTGTTGAATTAACCTCTAACAATTCGTGTTGATCAGACTTTTGCACGGAATAAATCTTGCCTGAGCAAAGTCTCTCAATTCATTAACTGAATCCGACAGGACATTTAGTGTCCTCAGAATAATGATGCCCTTTTCACTTCCTTCAGCTTTCAAAAATATACAGCTGATTGAGTGGACATCTTTCTGTTTCAATAAATCAATTACAAATTTGTTCAGTGAACATTTAGCTGTCTGCGGATTTGATCGGAGTGATGACATTTAGATCAAATTCCTGCACACGTTAACCACACATTGAACATCATTTCCTTTCTGTAGTTTATCCCAACCCTTGTTTGCGTTTAGCCTTTCAGATATCGCAGGGATTGAACATCACACTTATCCAAGAGGCTGTGGCTATTATGGCTTTGTTAACCTATCTGTAGCAATATAAATCCAAACAGAACAAGCTGGGAATGTCCCATCAGGTCAATCAGCATCTGAAAGTAAAAGACAGGTTATCATTTCTGTGTGACTCTTTGTCACAAAATTTCTGGAGTCAAATACCCTTGAACGTTCACACTGTAGCGGAAAAATAACCAGTTTGTTCATAAGAGTTCACCAATATCAATCAATTGTTAATTGTTTGATTAGCTTTATTGAGGACTTAGATACCACCGTGACTCATATCTCTCCCTTCAAACATAATGTGGCCCAGGCTATTAAAATTGGAAACTGAATATATTCATTAATCCACATCTTGGGAAGGTGTCTCGAGACCTTTTAAGCTTGATGATCTCATCACAGTCAATATTATCACATCCATGATCACACCCAGAATAGAGCTCAGACTTGAGCAAGAATGCATCAATTGGTCAATAAATATCATTTGTAATTAAGATGTATTACCAACTGCAAAAACGTTAAGTGTTGCACTGTGCCTGGATGTCCTCATTTCTCAGCCCACAAACAGTAACAAATGTCAACATTTTGGCAAATGAAAATAAATGATGTGCTTGATCTGAGCAAAAACATTAATAATTTTACCGAACACACACAACCTAAACAGATATCCAGAATTGCATAGCTTCGGTCTGGATAGCACACGACCCATGGCAAAGGAAGAGAGAGAGTCAGCTCAGTGGATGGTGGAAGTCTACTAACTTGCATCCAAAGAAGCACAAACACTAATAATAAATGGAAACCCACTTCTTTTCCTGCTCTTGTTATCATGGGAGTGTGGACTAGAGCTATAGCTGTAGACTACAGCGCCTTGGGACATCCTCCCGACATGAAAGGTACTGTACAAGTGTCATTTTGTATTGTTGTTGGAGTGAGTTTTATTATCGTTCGCTGTATTTCAGGACCTCAGGTACTTCAAGTCAGAGAAGACACAGAGAGGCATGCTGACAGAAGGCTGGAGAGACACTCAGAAGCCAATCATGTGCTCCTACAAACTGGTGACTGTCAAATTTGAAGTCTGGGGACTTCAGACAAGAGTAGAACAATTTGTACATAAGGTCAGTCAGTGGTAACATTGCAGGAAACTTGCATGGATTGTTTTTTTCCCCATTTTGCATTTGTTCTTGTCTCTCCTCTTTTCAGCCTGAGTCAAGCACTCATCCCTAGCTGCGAGGACAGTCTCCTGCGAGGAACTGACTCCCCTGCTTATGCCAATTCATTGCACATTGCTGAGTTCATCTGAGAACATCCCATAAGTTTCTCAGTTATTGATGTTCTCTCGCTTCCATGTGAGGCACACCAGCTCGCTGTCTCTCCTAATGACGTGGCTTAGATAGGAAACTTGCTGCATGAGTAACTTCTCATTTAATTCTGTAAACAACGTGAAGAAAGGTCTTCAATGTGTCAGAGTAGCTTCACAGGTAATTACTGTAAAGTGATGTGATTGATTTTTGTGCAGGGAACATTATACTTGTACCGTTACACAAACTTGACTGATCGGTAAGCTTATGAACTTTCAGCCAGCTCCGATATTTGAATCAGGACCTGTGACAACCAGTGATATACCAAGTTGCACGTCGTGATTGTGGGATTTAGTTGTCTGTCAGAAACAGCCTGACTTTTTGTACTCTACCATAGTATTTGCTTATAACCACAGGACGGCGCTGTGCCACTAACCGAGCAGTATATTGCAGTGGCACCCAGTGTTTGGAATGAGATACTGCTTCACATTTCCCTGTAGGAGTTTTGTTGTACAGTATTTCCTCCTGAGATACTTTAAGGCTTTTAAAAAAAATGAGAAAAGCTCATTCATTCTTCAACAAATGACTTGAATGTTCTGCATAAATACTCCTTGAAAAGTTGGGAGGAACGAGGTTCTGGTTTGACAGGGATAGTCAGCAGATGAATGTTGGGCACTGCTCTCTTGAGAGGAGGCGACATACCGGGGAGTAACTCTGAAGAACTTTACACTGGTCAAGGAAGGAGTGGGCACGTGCTTGATGGGACGAACGCCAGGGTTTTGTTCCGTTTCCATGTTGTGGCTTTGGCAGAGGCTTGGGAGCAGGTAACCCGACTGTCTTTCGCAGATAAGTAGGAGAAGCAGGCGGAAAGAAAATATACCCAATTTAAATTAGGTTCTATATATATATATATATAGAGAGAGAGAGAGAGAGAGAGCAATGGGCTTTGTATAAATATGTTTATTTGTGTTCAGAAATTGTTTATTGAGGATTTAATGACTTATTCACATTCTCAGGTTGTCCGGGATATTCTGCTAATTGGCCACCGACAAGCCTTTGCCTGGGTGGACGAATGGTACGGTAAGTGGAACTGTTAAATTTCATCCATGTTTGCCCGGCATGCAATTCTCAATAGGTCTTCCACCCCAAGCATGGCAGGAAGACTTGGCTGACACACTCTCTCACCCTCCTAAACTGGTTGTGCTTCCACAAGAAACAGTCTAAGAAATATAACTGTAGTCTTGGAGATAGTCTCATAAGTTCAATGAATGAACAATAAATTAGACATTTTCTGAGGTCTTTGCTTTCTTTGCAAACTAATTAGCTATCTTACGCTGTTACTAATAATTCTAGATCTATTCGGTTCTGTATATCTGCAAAATATATCAGATTTCAATTGCAGGTAAAGTTACATAGAAACCTGTCTTAAGGATAACCTGGATATATAACCCACCTGTCTTTATTGACCATCAAACGTCTCACTTGTATTAAGGGACTGTCTGTTTGAAAGGATTGCTTAACCAACCTCAGAAGGCATTCATTGCACCCTGGTTACACTGTGTCGGATATCAATCGGGGAAGTCTTTAATGTAAGCTTATTGTGTTTTAAATTACAAGTGTGTTTTTAAACAGAAGATAGGATGAATAGTTTGATGTAGAAATCTGTACTGTTGATTTAGGGGGTTTGTAGCAGGTCTTCTGAAAGTATCTTCTGAAAGAAGGTCCTTTGGCTTATATTTTCACCATGAGCTTTACCTCCCAAATGCACCTTGTAAACACTCTGAACCCTGTGCTCCGCTCTTTTTCCTTGACTCTCCCAACAACTCAGCTTCTGCTGCACACTTTTTTTCCGACACCTTTCCCTCTGACTGTCTGAACTAACTTTACGACTCGCTTGTCATAAAGCTAGTGTTCGTTCCCGCTTCTAGGAACCTTCCATGTCTACCCTCGAACCTCATTTCCCTTTTTTTATTCATTATTATTTATTGGTTTCATCTCCCAGAAACCGCTACATACCTCGAGTTCAATGTCCTCTCCACAGAACGTGCCAACATCTTGGACTTTTTACAGATATGGCTATGGATGATGTGCGGATGTACGAAAAAAACATGCATGAACAAACGAACATAAAAGTTTGGTTTGATCAGCCTTCCACAAATTCTCCTCCCGCGGATGAAATACAGAGCGATGCCAACACAAGCGTATGTTGATGTTTTTTCTAAAACCAAACTTGAAAAATCTCCCTCTCTTAATAGTTTTATCGCTATTTTAATGCTTTCCCGTTTCAAAGTACTCTCAGATATGTGGCAAATCCACGAGAAGAGGCCGGTGAATGTATGGCAGTGAGGTTCTTTATTCACCAATTAAAACCAATTGCTGAACATTCTCTGCCCACCAGCCTCTCGCCACCGGCCCAACATTCACATGGAGAGAGAAAATTGAGTTAGGTCGATGACCTTTCGTCAGAACGGACATCAGGATTTGCTGTTTGCCCGTGCTATTCCATTCCACACTGATCACAGGCCTGGTTTTTCCATCCAATTTTTCTCTCAGAATTTCTTCCTTTCTTATTGCCTGAAGCCGGTGACTGATACTAGGTGAGCTTCCGTGGGCATCACGACCCGATTCCATCGATAAGCACCTCGCTGGCTCCCAGGTCACGTTTCCCCTCTCCCTGAGACCATTTCTAATAGGCAACCACAGCCCAACCCGTTTCACAAGATGTTAGAATGAGAATCGGGTTGGCACAATCTTTGGACATTTCAATGTAAACTCTAGGAGTGAGTGGTACAGCTCCGACCAAAGGGAAGAACATCTTCTCTCTCTACCACTCTTTGGGGTCTTGAGTGAACTGAGTTTGGGCAAAATCAGCCCAATTCCCAGTAGCCGTCGGTCCTAGCAAAAAGCGATCTGCAATTCAGCTCTGTGAGTAGCACTAAATGAGCGGCCTCCTGCTGAGGATGTTACAAATGGAACGTCCACTGGCGTGGTAAAGGAGTGCTCTTCTGAGGTTAGCATCAAGATACTTTAAGCGATATTATTATTATTATTATTACACAGAATATCACAAGATATATTCCTGTGTTCCTGCACTATGAGCCAGCTATTCCAGCCTAAAATACCCTCCCCATAAAACATGATACTGTATTTTCCCTCTCTGCCCCTATGATGCAGACAGTTCCCAATACAGAATTGGGAAATAGTAATGTACACAGGTCACTCACGAGTTGTGTGTCGTGCTGACCCCACAGGGACTCCCTTGGACACAATCGCCTCTTATTAGAGCATAGCTTGTTCTAACCTTACGTGGTGTTTGCTAGCTCCGGCATTGAGAACAGGATTTCCCAGTACTGAGTGCTTGTGTAAAAGCATATTGCCAACCTATTGTTTTACAGAAGAGAGCTTGTTTATGTTTATGAACCGATCTGATGAATTTCAACCACAACCACTGGAGGGCAGGAAATTATAAGCAGCCTCTGTCATTTATTACCTTAAAACTTTTGAAGGCTTAAGTACAGTAGTAGGATAAATATTGGACAAGGAACTTGCAGACCCAGAAACTGTGTTTCATCCTGCCAGTCCCAAAGTTAAAAAATATGATTTTAATATCAGGACGATATTTATTTCTTAAACCTATGTACATAGCAAAGGAACTGATTTCCTCCTTAATCAGTAGCAAAAAAGCTGATTTTTTTTAACTGAACAGGTATAACTGGGTTCAATGTATCGCCAATAAAAGATATCTAATTCAATTGGAACAAGAAACTTGCTCAGAGCAGGAATTTTTTTCTTGTGGAGCTTTTATCTGAAGTACAAGAGGTAAGTAAACCACAGCTAAATCCAGATGTGCTGCTGTGCATAATGGTATTTGGTATGTTTGTCTCTGGTGTTCAGATGTCATATCACTGGATGCTGTGAAAGTGTTTGAGGAGATGCCATGTCTGGTGTAGCGACAACACTCGCATCACTCGCTCTTTTGACCTCTGTTCAGCCTTAGTCACACTGGGGTGGGGGGGTGTTGGGGTGAGAAGATCCCCCTGGGTCAGGGATTCTCCTTGGGGAGACTACATTTTTGTTCCTCCTAAAAACTATAATAATAACCATCGTCGTGACAATCAGATGATTTTACCCAGCAGAAAGAAAATTTCAAAATGCTTCTATACTTTGTTCATCATTCAATGGTAAATGGAGGAGGAGGGAATGATATAATGGTGTTGTTTGGTCCAAGAGAATGTTGAACAAATAAACCAGGACAAGACTTGTGATAGCATTATCCACAAAGACCAACCCTCTCTGACTTGTTAGCTCTAGTCATCTAGTCAATGGATGGTATTCTGGCTTATTAACATGTAACTAATGTTGAGTCCGCACGTTTTATGACGTCAAGGAAATTGGCAATGGATCTCCAAGCCTCAACATCAGGTATGTACATTGGAAGGAGCCAAAAGCCAATGTTCCACAAATAAAACCTGTTCATATTCTTGACAACCAAGCTCCAGGTTTTGGGCTCACAGCCTTTAAACACAAGTGATCGATTTGCAAATGTTAACTTCTGAGTTGATATTCATTTTCTTGGTGGAATAAAAGTCTCTACTGCCTATTGGCTATGAAGGTGGGTGGTACACAAATTAAGTTTGGGTCAGTTCAGTTTCTAGCGAGCGGGACTCACAGCACAAAACTGTCCCTCTGTGGTATTGAAGTGGCAGGAAAATGGTAATCAGAGAAGCAGCCACACGATGATTGGTATGGGAAGACTGTTGCAATGAGGCTAGTGACAATACTGAACTGTTTGTTCCTCAGCCCCTTGTACTATTCTGCATTGCACCATGTGTATTGTGTCTTATAGACTTGGCATCAGACCCAGATTTTTAAAAAACTTGATTTTTATTTGGTAAAACAAAACTTGAATTGATGACTAGAAATGCATATTGACTGATCTGTGAGAGATATTGAAGTTTACACAGGATTCTTTTTGTTTTTAATCGGGAAGACATGACAATGGATGAGGTTCGAGAATTTGAACGAGCAACTCAGGAAGCTACCAACAAAAAAATCGGAATTATTCCTCCCGCTATCACCATCAGCAACGTGGTCCTGCCTTCGCTAACCCGCAGCGCGCCCTCCAGCGCCCCGTCCACGCCACTCTCCTCCGACGCCCCGGAATTCCTGTCTATACCCAAGGATCGTCCGAGGAAAAAGTCTGCTCCAGAAACTCTTACCCTGCCGGATCCTCAGGAGAGACGTGCAGCCACTAAGATATCTGAAGGTGCAGCCTCTGGTGACCCATTTGAGCCAAAGCATGACTAGCTGCCTCTTTCAACCAGTGGTTTGATTTCCAGATCTCAGTGTTGTTCCATCGTTCTCTGCTTTAATTCTTCACCTTTTCAGCTTGACAAACTAGACCTTGGCCATCCATTTGCTCCACCCCTGAGTTCGTAATCTCCACAGATAACGTTGTGTCACCAGCTTACAGCATCTGCCCATTATGCAGATGGATTGTCCCGGCTGTGGGGGGCTGTGGGGGTGGGGGGGGTTTCAAACACCACTGTGGTCTGCTTCTTCGATGCTGGATGTTATTTGTGCTGTTGTACCGGGTCACAGAGCCGTGACATTCTCTTGTGAGTTTGAGCCTATTTTGGGTGTTATTCCCCCCCACCCTGTGGAGCTCAATGTTGATTAAGAGATCTCCCGTCTCGCTTAGAACTGGCTCCCCTTGGGGTTTAATGTAGAAGTAGCAATCTTTTTGTTTTGTCTTTACAATGGGATTTCAGCGTCTGATAGATAGATCCTTTTCCTTTCCAAATTAAAAAAATGGTCAATCACTCCATAGCTGTTTGTGGGACATTGCTGTGTGCAAATCGGCTGCTGCGTTTACCTACAAAAATACAGTCACTATACTTTACAGTGAAACCTATGAAGCGCTTTCAGACAACCTCCCGATGTGAAAAATGCTATCATCAAAAGCAAGGATTATTATTATTGTACGATAACAGCTCTAACCATTTCACATAAATCTGATGATTTGAAGTTGTCTGATAGGATGGTCCTCCTAATTCCCAGTGACTGCCTGTAATGTGTATTTAAGAATTCGGGGAATATCGAGTTAGGAAGAACATTAAAGAAATGTTTTCAGAATGTTTTCACCTCCACAGGTTGTCTGAATTTCCCAAACTCTGTGCATTTGCATTCTTCAATGGTTGTGTTTCTGCAAAACTGGTTTCCCTGTGTATAAATGGCCAAAATTACAATGGTTGCATTATTACCATTAACACATTCTTTGAATGCTGCTGGAATGAAAAATGCTTTGTAGAATTGTCCAATTGTGTATAATCTATTTTAGTGCAGCTGATTATTCTTTCCCCCGTCAGAACCGATCAATTTGGAGGAAAATGTATCATTTTGGAAATATTTTCATCTCCTTAAACATAGAAAAGAACTTGCATTTTAATAGCATCTTTAATGTTGAAATATCTCAAAGCGCTTTGCAGCAATTACTGCTAAGTGTAGCAGCTATTTTTGCAGCCAAGCATGACAGCCATTTTGCCCAATAATAATTACATATTCAGATAATAATATAAAATTGCCACACAAAGGAAGCTGTTGGACCTCTGTGCCTGTGTTGTGCTAGCTCCGTACTGGAACTATCTACACAAACACCATTTTGCTCATTTGTTCTCAAAATGTATTATATTAACCAGAATGAAAGCCATTTGATCCGTTTCACTTTCCAATATACTTCGTAAGAACAAAATGACTCTTTTCTACGAAGGGAGTACAGAGCTGAGGCCTATCTCGACCCCACGGGGAGGAAAGGTGAAGAAGTGATATCCACCCTCCCCCACCTGAACTCCCCCCCCCTCTTGGCAGGTGGCTAAATACAGTAATCTCAATCGTGGGTCACCCAGCTGTTCCCTCAGAGATACCTGGTGCAGATAAAATTCTATTAACCATATTTTAAAAAATACCAGATACTCACTGAAGCGGAATCAACTGCACTTAAATAGGACCCACAGAATGGGAAATCTTTCTTGTGTCAGAGTTAGAAAGTTTTACATAGATCAGAACTGTACATAGAAAGTGTGATGTAAATATTGTGTCAACTTGTCGTGAACGTAAGGACAAGGTTTTCCTACGTGACTGGTTTATTTTATTTGTTGCGATGAAGAATCTGCTGCAATAGTTTGTTACGATAGCATGGGTAATAACATACCTGAGTGTAGAAATAAGATCTTCATTGCTGAGAACAAAGCAGGTTTATCATTTTTGAAATTAAACTTCAAAGAAATAAAAGATGTTTTTCTCTGAAACAGAGTGTGTGGCCTCAGTGCATTCCAATACCCTGGCATTCTCTTTTCACTTTTTAAAAGATGATTATTATTATTACTTGACAGAATGATGAACTAGGAAACAGCTCGAGGTTTATTTACATAACAGATTTCAGGCTCAGTGAACGTAGCATAGTACATGGTGTGATACTAAGATCCAGGGTTTGGTCCCTGGGCAGAACTGAGATCTTTGTCCCGGTAGTGTTGCGGGGTGTAAAGCTGATCACTATCCGGCAGCTGTGCTAAAGAGTGCACCTCCACAGTTAAATGCGCTCACGATGCTCGTTGATGAAGAACGATTACTTGCATAGCAGGGAGATCGGTCATGGGTTGCTGGCGTGAGAGGAAGGGAAGAAATGAATTACAACAACAACAACAACAACAAGATTCCATTTATAAAGCGCCTTTCACGTCAGGAGGACGTCCCAAGGCGCTGCACAGTTGGGTCATGACCCGAGCAGGGGGGAAATGGTCAGGGTGAGGGGAGGGAAGGGAGGGAGCGAGGAGGGGGAAGAGAGTTGAGAGGGTACAGAGTACAGAGAGAGAGTACAGACTGTACTTCCATCGATGTGGACTGAGCATTGGTCAGGATGCTCAAGAGTGGTCCATACATAGAACTACCCGTGCCCCCTCCTCGCACGCACCGAGCCACTGAACTGATAAGACAATTGGCAAGCCAGAAAATAGCATTTGTGGATCGCCATTAAAGGTAAGTTTGCAGCTCATCAGAGACCCTTTCCAGAGAATAGCAGCTGAACAGATTTTTACCAAAGACATGAAAGAGAGGGGTCTTTTTACGCAGAGGATTCTTAGGTTGCACTATACCTGGCCAGGAGCGGCAACAACAACAAAATTACATCTGTATAGAAACATATTACATCAAAATTGGGGGGTTGGGGAGGGGGGGGTTGGGGAGGAGGGTTGGGGTGGGGGGGTGGAGGAGGGGGTTGGGAGGAGGTGGGGGGGGGGTGGGGGGGTTGGGGAGCGTGGGGGGGGTTGGGGTGGGGGGGTTGGGGAGGGTGGGGGGGGGTTGGGGAGGGGGGTGTTGAGGAGGGTGGGGTGGGGGGTTGAGGAGTGGGGGGTTGGGGAGTTGGGGAGGGGGGGTTGGGGAGGAGTGGGGGGGTTGGGGGGGGGGGTTGGGGAGGAGTGGGGGGTTGGGAGGAGTGGGGGTTGGGGTGGGGGGGGTGGGGAGGAGGGGGGTTGGGGAGGGGGGGTTGGGGAGGGGGGGGTTGGGGAGGGGGGTTGGGGAGGAGGGGGGTTGGGGAGGAGGGGGGTTGGGGAGGAGGGGGGGTTGGGGAGGAGGGGGGTTGGGGAGGAGGGGGGTTGGGAGGAGTTGGGGAGGGGGGGTTGGGGAGGAGGGGGGGGTTGGGGAGGGGGGGTTGGGGAGGGGGGGTGGGGAGGGGGGGTTGGGGAGGAGGGGTTGGGGAGGAGGGGGGGTTGGGGAGGGGGGTTGGGGAGGAGGGGGGGGGGGGGGGTTGCGGAGGGGGGGTGGGGAGGAGGGGGGGTGGGGGAGGGGGGGGTGAGGAGGGGGGGTTGAGGGGGGGGGTGGGGGGTTGAGGAGTGGGGGTGGGGTTGGGGAGGGGGGGTTGGGGAGGAGTGGGGGGGTTGGGGAGGAGTGGGGGGTTGGGGGGGGGGGTGGGGGGGGGGGAGGAGGGGGGAATCACACGTGTGGGATGAAGGAGGTGAATGAAAGGCACTGTGGATGGGTTGCAGTCAGCGCATGCGCCAGGGCGCCCCGCCGCCAGAGGGCGCTGTTGGCGGTGCTGTCGGTGCAGAGCCGCAGGTGCGGCAGTGGCGCGGGAGGGACCGAGTGCGCAGACGCAGAGGAGGAGGAGGAGGAGGGAGAGTAAAGATGGCGCGGCTTTGCGAGGACTTCATGCTTTGCGGCCTCCCCAGCGGCGGCTCGGTGCGGGGCCTGGAGCCCGCGGGACCCGACCACGTCATAGTCACTCACACGGACAGGACGGTGACGGTGTATAAGGTGAGACGGGCGGCCAGAGCCCGGGGCCAACTCCGGCATGGCTCCTGGGGGGGGAGGGGTTGGCATGGCTCCTGGGGGGGGAGGGGTTGGCATGGCTCCTGGGTTGGCTATTGGGGTACTGGCATGGCTACTGGGGGGGGTGTGTGGGGCGCTGTTGGCATGGTTACTGGGGGATGTTGGCTTGGTTGCTGGTGAGATGATGGCATGGTTGTTGGGGGTGTGTGGGGGGCTGTTGGCCTAGTTGGTGGTGGTGGGGGGGGGCACCGCGCCGATGTACTGAAATTAGGTCCAGGTCAGTTCGCAGCAGGCACCGACCTCCTTCACCGTCCCCCGCCTCGCCCGCCCTACCGTTGGCGGGTGAGCCTTCAGCCACTCTGGAACTCCACTTTGCCCCCTCCCTTGGCTCCTTCAAGACCCATCTCAAGACCCTCCTCTCCGACCGTACCTTCGATCACCCTCCTTCCTTCCCCCCCCCACTCCCCCCACCCACACCTGCCCTTCACCCTCCCCGATCCCGACTCCCGGCTCGGGTCCGAAACACCGACTGTCCAGCCCCTTGGGACGTCCTCCTGATGTGAAAGGTGCTTTCCAAATGTAATGTTGTTGTTGTTATGCGTGTGACATGTATGTAAATATGCATGTACTGTGTATAATGACCCACGTATTTGCTTCTGTGAAGGTGTCAGACCAGAAGCCTCTGGGAAGTTGGAGCGTCAAACAAACTCAGGCAATCTCGTGCCCAGCAATCTACAACAGCCAGACTAAAGAGTATGTGGTTGTTCATGACAAGAAGGTAAGGACTGAAAAGAAATTGGAGATTGTTCGTTCTGCATGTCAGGCGTTTGAATTTTAGTGTCTTGAAAGACTGACCAATTTTCCTGAAAACCGTGCATTTGAGTTCATATCTGCAGGTAGTTGCATTCATTGCTATCTGTAGATTTAAGCATTGATGCTAATGGAGATTTTAATATCTCATTGTTTTCTAGGTGTTAAGAATATGGAAGGATGAAGATGTTAATCTGGAAAAAGTGTTCAAAGCACGGTACGTTCACAATGGGATGGATTCTTCTTATTGGAACACAATCATAATAATAACGCTGTGTACCTTTAGAAATTGTCCATTAAATTAAGAATTCCACATCACCTTGTGTCAGCGGGAAGTAAGAAAATGTCTGTCTGAACCTCTTCACATTTACTACATTTCAGTTATTGGCAGACGTCTGCCGGATACACATGCTGCCCGATACAGAACCTCTCGTGCTCTTTGAGGGAGGAGCCGTCCGTCGCCTTGATGTTCTCCTGACAGATCCACAGCAGGAAATCGAAGATATCGTCTCAGAAGGTGAAGTCATCAGGTTAGTATGACCAGGTGTGTCTGGGAGAGTTTATAGTAAACGTTCCTGTATGGTTAGTGTTGTCAGTGTGATGGGTAGATTTGGGAGTGGGGGGAAATTGGAGAAATTCTCTGTAAACATATTAAATTCTGTATGTTTTATCAAAGTAATCTGAACCTCTTGCTTGGATTACATATATTTACAGGCGTCTGTCACTGTTCAGCATAGTTTTGCCCACAAATTTACAGTCAATTCACTTCACAGTATATACTGTGAAGCACTTTGAGATGTCTCGAAGACGTGAAAAGCACTATATTAAATGCAGGATTATTATTATTACTTGTAGCTGAGTTTTCTCTCACTGCGATGAGATTTTATATGTGTTGGTATTATACAGCGAGAGAGGGTCAGCGGTTGTGTGTTTTATAACTAGGGTGGGAATCAGTGTCTAAGTGTACATTCCATTTTCATTCTAGGTGGAGTGACTCTGTACTGGAAGCTGGAAGCCCCATTGTCGTGTTCATCACAGAAAAAGTAAGCGAGAACCTCTATTTGTAAAGCGCCTTATTAAGTTAATGTGTTAAAGCACTTTATAGACAATTACTGTCAAGCCTGTAGAGGGGGCCACAGCCAAACCTGATCTCTCCTTTCCTTGCTGCCACACGTGCACTAGAAGGTACTGAAGGTGGGCCAATTGCTTCTGACTAATTGTCTCCAGAGGTGAAATTTGTGTGTTTTTATTGCTGTGATAAAAGCTTTGGAATTAATTCATTCTGATTGAAATGACTTTCTTTGCAGAATGGAGCGTTCCACCTGTATACCCAAAAGCTAAACCCTGATATGCAGCAGAAGTTTAAATTGGATTCAGGAGAAGAGATTGGCTGTCCTGTGAGCTTCGCTCTTTCCCTCAACCAAGAGGACATTATCCTAACCTGTTTATGTAGGTTGCCTCCTGCCCAGCTTCATTGCGTATTAACTGTCTTTTTCGGTCGCTGCAAATGTGTGACTCATTGTGAATTAGGTACATACTGTAATCCAAGAATTGTACTGACTTGTCAGTGAAGTGGATATGTCTGTAATGACTGTAGCAATAATAAACCACCCGTAGGTACCAGAAGTCTGAAATAGTCTTAAAATTTAGGATTGCTCGAAATAGTGGAAAATTGTTAATTCCATTTTAATCAGGAAGTCGCTTTTTCATGGTCTTGAAAAGCAGAAATAAGTCTGATTTCCACATTTCTGCTGATCCTAAATGTGAAGACACAACAGCCACTCAACAACAACAACAAACACCTTTCACATAAGGAGGATGTCTCAAGGCACTCACAAGCTTAGCCTAAGTGCAATTTTGGGGCCTCTGACATGGCTTTACTTTTTATTACTGTGATTTTAAAAGGGAGCAATGGGAGAGTGACATGAGTGTCTGTGAAAACCTTTTCCTCAGATTCAGATGGATCGATCTACAAGACGGAGTTGCCGCCTCGGCGCAGGAGTTGTGTGGAGAACGAGCAGGCACTGCCTCGGTCCTCGCTGCTAAAGCTGCCGGGTTGCAAGGCCCGGAGTCTGCAGCGAGCTGCTATCCGGCTGCTGGATGAGGCTCATATAGCTGTGTTGGGAGCTCCTCATTCTCTGCAACCTACTGTCAAAGGTACTTAAGAGATGTTAATTCAGCTGTCTCTAAGACAGCATTGATGGCCAATTCTTGCCCATCTGGATCCTCATTATTAATGTGAACACTGACATGTGCCTGACTTTTATTTCAGAATCTTTGAGCATTTGGAATACAACATTCCAAACGCTGCTGACATGGAAAGAGCTGCCAGAGGGAAGCTGTGGGCAGGTGAGGCCCTTCTTACATTGTCTTCACGATCACAGTCTTAGCTTGGCTCAGTTGGTAGCATTCTCATCAGAGCCACCTGAGTACAGACGCAGTGTTGAATTTATCCTTGGCGTTGTCTCAGTCACCTGCTCATGTGCTTTTATGAATAACGCTCCAGAAATGCAGCTGGCAAAGTCCTCCCTACATGAAAGGCGCTGCTGTATATAAATGTAACTTGATGTTGTAGTGAGAAGTGAACGAGTGGTATAAAGTAACTGGGTCGCAACGTAACTGTTCTTTGATTCTCTCTAGTTGTGGTGTTACAGTGGCAAACTCTATGTGCCCCATGGAAAGGTGCTGACTGTGGTTCCATTTACATGTGAAACCTCCTCTTTGGCAGCTGTACTCGGGAAACTCCAGCAGCCAAACACTGCAGGTAGGTGACTATCGTGGGTAAAATCAACCCTGTACTTTGCAGAGTTGATCATTTTTTGATCATTTGTTGCATGAATATGTATTTGTGGTTTAATTCAACGTTTTTTTTTTAAATCTCACTTTACAGAAATGAAAACGGCTTTCACTGTTGTGAACTGGAATGCCTTGCTTTACGATGAGGAGGCAGAAGGACTCCAGCAAGCTGCAGCAAGGAGCGGTGCTAAATTGGAGCCCAAGAGAATTGTAAGGAGGGAGACATTACTGAGGGGCTGATATACATGCCGGCTGCAAAGCACAGGCCTTGACTGAGTTGACAGAGCAGCTCCTGGCTCCTATAACAGGCTGTTTGGAGGGGCCCGGGAGTGTCACTTGGTGGTGAAACGAGCCATTGATGATAGCTCGAGATTTTTAAGAGCACTTCAGATTCCTTGCGCCGGTTTGATTTTGTTTTTCCATCTTTCTATTGCAGCTGAGGAGCAGAAAGAGTCAGGGAGCCTCCACTCAGCAACAGTCCATCTCTCAGGATCAGCTTCTAAACCAGATTCAGGTAAAAAACGTAAAGCATCAAGCTTTGTTTGACTGAGGAGACCAGAACTCTTATTAGGAGACTTGAACTTTCAGCAGATTACAAGGTGAAGAACCTTGGCAGAGTAGTGTTATAATACATCATCAGGCAACCGACTGATCCATGTGCTTAAAACCTCAACAGGGTTTCAGCTCATTCTTATTGTTGCCCTGAGGGAAGTGTGGAATGCAGTTCAAGAATTGCCCCAGGGAAGGAATATTAAGTTCCTCCTCCTCTCTTATCTGCCCCCCAGCCCCACCCCTCACATTACTGAAGAGACAATGAAAGGACGTAATGAGAAAAATCAGGAAAAAATATTTCCTTTAGAGAGGGGTTTGTCGTCAGAAGAATTAAGGGAGGAGAGGTTTAATGTTTTCACTTAAAGGGGTAGAATTCATTAAAATAAATTCGACATCTGATACACCTGCATCTGACACAGCGCCTTGGCAGCAGAAGTTGAGCAGATGTTTAGCATTCAAGTGGCAAATGAGTTGGGAGTACACTTCTACGCTCTTGTGCTTTATTCTCTGCAGTTTTTTCATGTTGTGCACATCAGGTACATTAATGAAAGGTAACACGAGATGTGTTAAAAGTATTTTTCTTTATTCCACGAAGCAAGGAAATTGGCCAAATCAGCACATGATCTGTGTCACTCGAACAGGCTGGTCTTAGAATACCTCCTGTGTTCCTGGGTACAGAGGTTTCGCAGTGTGTTACCTTCAATAGGGAAGACAGTCAAAACAGTGCGTCATGTACAAATGTTTAACAATCAGTCTTTTGCAATTCGCTGCTCAGAGGATTTGTTTTAAGGACACACGTCACACTTTTAAGACCCTCCCTCTGGCCAGAGTAATTTACCTAATGTAATTTTCTTCCTGTGGCTGAGTTCCACAGAATGCTCATTTGCTTCATTCAAATTAAAACATTTTAATTTATAAAATGTGTGTGTGTCACGCGTTTTAGTCAAATCCTCATTGGGGTAAACTGCCCCCGTCATCTTTCTCTTTGACCGTGCCTTCAGCTCCCCTCTCGACTCTCTTCCTCCTCCTCGCTCCCTCCCTTCCCTCCCCTCACCCTGACCATTTCCCCCCTCCTCTCTCCCCCCCCCCCCCCCCTGACCATTTCCCTCCTGCTCGGGTCATGACCCAACTGTGCAGCGCCTTGGGACGTCCTCCTGACGTGAAAGGCGCTCTATAAATGGAATCTTGTTGTTGTTGTTGTTGTTGTTTTCCAATGCTTCATTAATTTTGCGGAACATTAAAATAAGATAATTTGTTACCCCACCCCAAGTGTCTTATCATGTCATTGAGACGTTTCAAAGCACTTCACAGAACATACCGTAAAGAAAGTTGACTGTGAAGCATGAGAGCCAATTGCACACAGCAGTGTCCCACAAACACTGTGTTATTCTGAGTTCTCTCACAGACAGGCACACTGGAGAAAGTAGAGGAAGATTTGCATATATTCTTCAATAACCTGCAGTCGCCCAATACACAGCTGATTACTGCACAGATTACTACAAAACTGGTGCATAGATGCTTGGAAGAGGTGAAATTCTACCCACAAAAAGCACTGGTGCAGCTGCTACAGACCCAGGTGCTTTCTTACAGGTGAGGAATGAATTGCCATCATATTCTGCTAATGTTCACTTCCATCATAAATAAGAGGCTTTTTCTAAATGAGTCTACATGGCTTTGGGTGCAGATTTTCTCCCTGCACTGTTTTTTTTTGTTTGTTTGTTCTGCAGAAACCAATCGTTGTGCTTGAGAGTATCCAAACCAAACTGAGAATTGCATGCATCCCACCTACACATGGAAGTACCAGAGATAGATCGTTGGAATGGAATGCACTCTCTCTCCCTGGAGGGATGCATCCTATTTACCTAATTCCAGAAAGTATTAGGGGCAAATTGGAAAGAACCAAGGCTTGGGGACCTCAGAGTATGCGTTGGGGAAACTGCTGGAGTCTAACCAGCTAACACAAGAGACACACGGGTAGTTCCTTAGGCAAAGCAGTTTCTAGAAGGTGCAGAAGAGATCCAAGGTGACGCGTCGCCTCTGCTCATCAATAAAACGTGCGAGGATCTGAAGCCAACTGTTCGATTTGCCAATTCTCAAACTGAAGCAGCACAATGTGTTTCTGTGAGGAATTCCACCCTCTCTCAATTCTTTGTATGAAGAAATGTCTTCTGATCTGGCTTTGGCAGACTTTTATAACTGTGAACTGTGTTTTTTTTCAGCTTGTGCCCTGATTTGGTGGCTGTGGCTTTGAGTAAAGCAGACTATTTCCTGTTGCAGCTTTGCCTGCAGCAGTTTCCTGATATCCCAGAGGCCGTCACCTGTGCCTGCTTAAAGCTCTTCCTCAGGTAAGGGGTAACTTGGAACCCTTGCTATGTGAGAATTATTTTTTGCTGTAATTAAATTTTTACCAGTGGTAATATTGTCATTAAATTGCTTCAACCAACAACAACAAATTACATTTATACAGCTCAACTTCTCAAGGCGCTGGACAGTCAATGATTTACACCCGAGCTGCAGGTTGGGATCAGGTGGGGTGGAGGGCAGGGAGGGTGGGGGTAGGAGGATGTCCGAAGGCACGGTCAAAGAGGAAGGTCTTGAAAGGGCCTTGAAGGAAACAAGGGAGAGGGGCAAGGCGAAGGGACTGTGGGATGGAGTTTCAAAGGGTGGGGGCAGCGAGGCCGAAGCTCCAATTGCCATAGTGATTTTACGCCCATGTTTTCCATCAGATGTGATTCACTGAGTGAATTGGCTATTTGCTTTTCCCCCCCCCCCCCCCCCCCCCCCCAAACCTTCTCCCCTCAGTGTCAGTGATTCAGATCTGCAGGATGTCACTTTGGATTTCGGAGATGTGGCTTGCTATATTGACATTGAAAACCAGAGCCCACAGCACACTGAAACACCAGAGGTTGTACAGAACGGCTTCAGTCCGGGGTTGCTGGAGAACAGTTCTGACCTTCCGCTGCCACCTGTAAAGTCCCATCAACCACCCGCGTTTGATGTGAATTCCAAATGCCCGGTTAGCCTTCAAAAAGCGGCTTTACTGTATCCTTTTACTGAGGCTTTTCATTGCTGTGAAATTTTACAGATCTGCCATTCCTTTGGACGCTGCTAATGTTGTTCCTCTACCTCCGTCCGGCTCCCCATCTTCAGTAAACTTCAAAGTTAATGATTTAAAGATTACTTGGTCAGATTTAGGAATATGGAGGGGATATTTTATAATATTTATAATAATCCTTGCATTCGATACAGCGCCTTATCACATTGTTGAGACGTCTCAAAGCGCTTTGCAGAATTTACTCTGAAGTGAATTGACTGGATATTTTGCGGGCTAAATATATGGGAACTTTCCTTGATGGCCGAGGACAGAAATGAAATTCTGCTATCGTCATACAGTGAGACTTTTCTTTTGCCACATCTCAAAGATCTTTCTGCTCCTCAAGTGATGGTAGGTATTAACAGAAAGCCTTTCAGTCCGTGCATGTGTTCAGAAAGACCTTGCAGTTAACAGATTTTATCTGATGTGTTAGGAATGTGGGTTCACTAAACCAAGGCTTAAAGATTTCATGGTTTAACTTGCTGCATCGTTCGACTCAAGCCATTTATTTTTTATTAAAGATAGAGTGAAATGTCGGCATGTATTTAAGAGTTACTTACTCTGAACTTAACCTGATAAACTACCTCATCTGTATTGAGTTCTGAGACCTGTGAATTCCTGTTTGAGAAGTAAGCATCCCGCCAATCTGCCGGGTCATTTGCATTTCTTCTGTGCTGTAGCCAGAAGCCATATCAGAGGACACTGTCAATGTTTTAATAATGATTCTTGTGTTCAGCTGTTTCTCCAGTATATGAAGTACCTGTACGTGAAGTACTCTGAAACTGTCAACACTGAGCTTCCAGGGGAAAGAGTTCCCACAGTCAATCAGGTACGTCTGTTTCCTTCTTTACTCGACACACCTCTGTTTACTTAGCAGTAAATAGGAAACTTTCTTGGGATAATAACCCCCCTCCTTTTTGTGGGACACTGCTGTGTGCAATTGGCTGGCACAGTTCACCCCCAAAATACAGTCAATCCATGTCAGTGTATTCTGTGAAGCGCTTTGAGACAGCTCAACAAAGTGTAAAAGAAAGGCTATTCCGTTTGATCTTAATCACCAACCAGAGGCTCCCGGTTATGCAGAGCCTGACCAGTTATAAAATGTTCCCAAGAGGGGGAAAAAAAAGTGGTGTCAGTTTCAGGACTGAAACCCCATCTTTCTGTTCTGCCCCCGCCCCGCTCAGTGGGCTTGCAGTTCTTTCTGTGAAACTGTTGAACAGCCAGTGTGGCTTTGGCATTGTGTGCAGGTCCTGGACTGGATATCTCTGCTGCTGGATGCTCACTTCACGTTGCTGGTGATGACGCCAGAGGCACGGGGCTTGCTCACTCACCTCCACAAGTTTGTCAGGTCCCAGGTATGTCTCGTGTTACAGAT